ACTAGAAGAGTGCTGCTCTTTCTGCCACTTTTTCTGTGGTTCTAATCTAGTCATAATGTCAACTGCCCCATTCCTTTAGCTAGCAAAGAAAGGCACCTGGGCCAGTGTTTAACCAAGAGTACAATTTACTGGAGCCTAAAATGGTTACAGAAGAAAAGCAAAACCAGCTAGTTAGTTTATAGTTTATAGTTTATTAGAATTTGTAGGCCGCCCTTTTCCCTGAGGGGACTCAGGGCGGCTCACATAAAACTGGGAAGGGGGGGATACAGACAACAAAATAGAGACATATACTAAAATGGTAAGCAACATACATACATCATTCGGGAGGGGTAACTATCCTTATCCCCAGGCCTGGCGGGCGAGCCAGTTCTTCAGGGCTCTGATATTTTCACGTGCAAAAAGCATAATTAACTTTCCCTTTCTTCCTTGGCCTGCCCATACTTATTATTCACTATCCAAACACTTACTTTCCTTTTTGTTTGGGAACAAGCTCTTCGTTCTGGCAGACATCCCAGCAAATAACCTTGGGAGGCTAGCACTGTCCCAGGCTTCAAACTGGCATTCTTGGCATTTCTTTAACTCCCACCCCCATAACCTCCCCACAACCCTACCATCATTGCTAGTGCTATGCAAAACAATTTGCAACCATGACATATAGTTAGGATGCTATCACTGGTCTATGCAGATGAACGTGAGAGTTCAGTAGGGGACTGCACCATGAAAAGGGAGAATGTTTATGTCCAGCAAAGACTTCTAATAGCACATTGAAATAATGCCATACCCATTAACAGATGCTACAGATCATAGCATCTGTTAACAGGACACCAGAATCACTTTCATGAATGGAATTATCCCACAACTTGGTAATGTCATATATTTAAAAACTCAAATACTCGTCTTTCTGAGATTGCTTTGCCCACTGTCACATGGGTCTCTGTTCTTTATTATCATACCCAATCATACTTGATACTGTCCTAGTAGTATTAGTGGTGCACATTTTCTCAGAAGCACTACCCATTGAGTTTAATAGGATGTAATCCCAACTAGCCAACTACAGTTTAAAATATTGTATAATTATTCTTCTGAAAAAGGTTTATATTTTGTAATTTTCTCTTACTTATATTTTAGGCAGAGGTGGGTTGCTACCGGTTCCAATAGTGGGTTGCCAATTTTTTTACTACTGGTTCGGCCACACTTGCACATGCACACAACACTTCTGCGGATGCGCAAAAGCATCTGGGTGCATGGGCGGAGCCTCCTGCCACCGCTACTACCAGTTTGCCCAATCTGGGCCAAAGAACCCAGGCTGGCCATGCCTCCAAACTGGTTCCCCGGTTGCTGCAGCATGTTTTTTGGCATTTTTAAATGTTCTGCGCATGCACAGACCTACTTACAGCCAACTGTGCAAGCACATGGAGCGCAAACAAAGCACACACACACCAACTGGCAGTAACGCCAGCAGCAACCCACCCCTGATTTTAGGCACAAGATATATAAGGAAAATGTATTTCCTGAAACTAGCTGTAATTTTTCAAAGGGATTATTTCTGTTCTCTTAGAGTTTCTTAAGGGCTCTTTGAGAATCCAAATACTATTAAGTAGGAATTCAGGGGAACAACTCTCTAGCTCTCTTTTTGACAACAGATTCTTAGCCCATACTGTTTACAGCTACAAGTTCTATTTTCTATTCTTTCCTGTCTCCTTAACAAAGTTATAACCAAACAGAAGATAATCTTAGGAATATACAAGCATGAAACTTGAATTCTATTATGTTATTATTGCAATATTTTATGCACAAAATAAAGAACATTTTCAACAAATTTCCCCAAGTTCAAGTAAATGTATTATCCATTATATTTCAAGTGTTCTTTATGAAAACTCTTGAACTCTGAATAATTTATTTCATCATTTCATACATTTATTATCATTATTAAATATTTGGCTCACTGCTTAGCAATGAAACTACATAGCCAATATTTATAAAAAAATGATATACCATTTTGAATCATTTGGTTAGCTTGATTTAATTAATTTTAAATTTTCAGATTTCATTATGTAACACATTCTTACACTTTGCCTTAGATCAGTTAAAATCAGAAAAATACTGATTTGGAAATAACTATAAGACATTTACCTAAACAATTTATATAGCCACCCATCTCACAGCAGTAAGTCAGTACACAAATTTTTAAACTAAATTCGGCCAGTGTGCAAATGATTTAACTAAACCCAAGGCAGAATATACCTGATGGAACCTTAAAATAATAATTACAATAATAATACTTAATCTGATTTTGATCTATATAACCAGACACATCCACCAATTCTGCTACTGTAATCTTTTGGACCAAGAATGATACTTGATCCAAGTTTTAGCACCTTGCAGAAGATCAACAAGTTTGGGCAATCTAGATCACTGAGTACATTTTATTGCATAGGGCAGATGCTGTGACAAAGAAAGCATGATTGCCCATTTTCCACAAAATAATATTTTTTAATGAAAAGGACCTATAGCAAGTACATTTTTTTAATGACCACAGGGTTTACCAGAAGGAACTTTGCATGGCAAACAAAAAAGAAGCTCAATATTGTAAAGCAATAATTTAAAATAATGAAAAACATTCAGGCCCTGAAAAAATAATTCCCACTCATCCATCATCACCCATGCCATTTCTCCCAACATATTGGCTCAAGTGTCTGGGGTAAGAGTCAGATTTTCATTGCTTTCCTGAAGGCCACCAGAATCAGCTTTCCCTCTGAAGTATCTCCAAGGGAAGACTGTTCCATAAGACAGGTGAGACCCCATCATGTGACATTCCTTCATTGAGGGGACCCAGAGCATGCCCATCTTGCCAGATGTAGTTGGGATGGGCAGAAACCATTGAGAACTGGTGGTCCTGCAAATAACATGCCCATATGCCACGTAATGCCTTTAAAGGTGATAACCAGCACCTTGAATTATGAAAGCCTACTAAGAGCCGGTGCAGCAGTGTTACTGGGGTATGCTGCTACTACCAGAGCTGCCGCATCTTCCAAATTATCTTCAAATCAGTCCTGTATGGAGCGCCTTGCAATAATCTAATTGGGAGATGACTAAGGTATGAGTGACTGTGAGTAATCCATATGTATTGAACAAAAGCCCTCTTGGCCATGGTTACCACCGTCCTTGAAGCAGTACACAAAGTCCAGAAGAACCTCGAGATTAACCCAAGCTCTGACTGAAGGTCATCCCAGCCTGAATTAAATATGGTAAATTACTAGATACAGGGGATCCTAAAACCCACAAACATTCAGTCTTGTCCATGCTGATATGAAGCCGATTCTTCACCATCCAGGCCTGTACAGCCTTCAGGAAAGCACCTTGTCAGAGACATATACTATTGATGTAATGCTAAGTTACACCTTAGTAATATAATTGTTATTTTCATTGCTAGTATATCTGATGCTGGCTTTTCAAACTGGAATATGGCAGACATATATTACTGCATAATCTCAGTACACATTTCTCTCAAACATTACATTTCCATTTATCACTTCTGTAGATTTTGCCCAGGTTCTATGCAATGGATACAAAGGACAAAAATAATATCTGAAAGAAAGAGGCTTGAAGTGAAAGCTAGAGGTGATATAAATGTCAAGCCTCCATGAATTGAGGTCACCTTGGTTGACACTGTGAAAATATCATCCTGAGTACAGTAATAATATCTGTACCATTTCATGAGCTAACTGAACAGCAATGAACACACAGTGGTCAAAAGCAAAGGTTTCAATGTCCCCATAATAGTCAGGGACTCTCTATCAACTCTCATTTTGAATATAATCTTTAAAAAAATAACAGACTTTATTTTAAGAAAGATAAACATGTGTCTCTTAAAGACGATATGATAATACAAACCAACTCCATCTCATTTCTTAGGATAGTTTAGGCAGGAAGTGCAGCATTTTCACATATTTGTTCTCTTAGCATTATTCTTACTCCCTACCTTTGTCAGCATTAAGAATGCAATGTACTTAAAAATAAAGTAATGCTATTTCCAGGAATTTACTGAAACATTTAACAAATTCATGCTTGCATTTGTGGCCATATGTCCCAGTACACTGTCCCATGATGACAAGCTGGAAATAACTGAATTACAAACACAGGGAATATAGGATTGCAAATGTTTTAAAAATTGGTTTAATGAAAACTTGTGTTCATGTCTCAAATATTACACATCCTTGTTTATTTGATAAGATTTCTTGAAAATGATTTGCTTAATCTTACTCATATCACAACTGGAAATTATCCCATCAGATATTTTCTAGTAGAAATTACTAAATTACTAAACATAAATTCATTATGTACTGGGATAGCAAAGATATGTATTGTGACTTTTGTTCATCATTGTATTGACTCATGTCAGAAGATTCTAACATCTAAAAACACAGTTTCTCCATCCCTAAAGGTTATAAAATTAATAAGTGATACCAAAATTTATTCAGATGACATTTAACTGAAATAAAGCCTGGAGTTATTATTTGATGGAATATTTCAGGTCACCTAAACTTATCTGGTGTAGGAAGGTAAGAAAGAACTGTCATTTGTAATTTCAACTTTGTGGAATAATGTTACAAAGTTATAATACATCTCAGTAAAGCAAGAAATAAAATAAGTGAAAACTGAAGCCCAATGTTAAGAAACTGATACCAAGAATAAAATGCCCATATCTAATATATTTTATTTCAGGACATTTTTCAAATCCATATAATATATGAAATTTCCAAAATCACAGTTCTAGAATCCCTGCATATCTGCTTTCTAAGGCAGTTCTGTACTTTGGTCAAATACTTCCTACAGTCATATCAGGAATGCCTAGTAGTTATTGCAGAGTTTAGTAGATAAATTGGTTATAACTTATTAAATCGATGCAACCTTTTGGACATTCACTTCAAGACAAAACTTTGGAACCCTTAGCACTTTTTAGAGAGAGTGAAAAAGAGGAAAGTCACTTGTGTACTCACGGTCATTGCACAGTGTCCCACTGAAAGAAGTCATGCTACAGTCACAGCTAAACCCATCCCATTGCTGCAAGCAGACACCTTGGTTAGCACAAGAGTCTTCTTGACATGTGGTGCTGGGACCTAACAAGAAAGGACACCATAGAAAGAACATGAAGGTCTGTCATTCAGAGTGACCATATGTGTCATTGGATCACACAGAGTAGTTGCCAACATCTCATGTTTATAGAATAAATTATGGGAAAAAGCTGATAAGGGGATTGGTGGTAACCCATATTATCAATAATATTCAAGCTATATAGAGACATATGTTTTTTGTTTGTAACACAAAGATATGAATTCATCTGGGATGATAACATAAGAGAAGCAAGTAACTCAAGCAAAAGGAAGTGATAATTCTCACATATATTTCTAATTTTACTTTAACATCTATAAACTATCTTTTCCAAAACAACGAATTTTACTAGAGATTGTGGAAAATATAATATAAAACTGTAAAAAAAACAGAACAAAACAAAATAGAAACAACCAAAAAGAAAGCCACACATGTCATATTAAAAGCAAGCAAGGAGGAGAAAAATATGGCTATCCAAACAATGGTTTGATAAACAGCTATATCTACTGACAGTCATAAGACCTTTGGGTTGGCATTTTTTAAATTAAAAAAAAACATTGTTTTCTCATTAGCAGGAATGTTGGCAAGTATCTTTTTACATGCTTTAAATTGTCCCATGCAGGTTTTTAAAGAACAAAGTAGATAGAGGAGAAATCAGCCAACTAATGCACCAACATGCTAAAAAAAATGACATTCACACATGAAAAACAAAACTATTCTATTTCTAAAGATCATAATTAGACCACTGGGAGAAACAAACAAATAAAACATTAAAGAAAGAGGCATGTTCAAAGCACTGAAGCAATCACTATACAAAAAAAAAAAAAAAGACACAAGACTGAAAGCCTGTATTTCAGTATATCCTGGGAGAAGATAGTTCTCTGTGCCATATTTTTAATGGGTAGAAGAGGAAAATGAGCTACAACACACAGCTATCAGCACAGAAGTGGCTGAAGGTTCTCAATGTGTTGTATGGGTTTCAGTCTTGTTTAATATATACAAGGGCATCTACCTTGCAAATCAGCTTTCATCAATGCAACTTTGCCAGCAAAATAAAAAAAGCAAAATATATTAAATGTTAGTAAGCAAATATTGAAATGGCAGCAAACACAGAAAAATTGTTCAGAGGAAAAAAAAAGTGCATGCTGCTCTCAAAGAGGAAAAGAAATTCCAAGTAGTGCAAATAAATTAATGCTAATAGACATAAATATCCAGCAAGCCAAAATGAGAATGCAATAATTTGCCAGCATTTACTACAAATATAATGGTTAATTGAGCTGATGGCATGTAATGAAGGAAAATTAAAATCATTTCTTTTCATAGGATAAATGTGAACACATTAGCAAAAGGAAATGGATGGTTTAATCCTGAGTAGCCATTTGTTATGTTCAGATACAAGCAGTTCAACCGTTAACACATTATCCTTTGCCATCCTAATTCTCTAGAGGAATTGAAGGATCTGTAGGTACCCACATTCCAGAGAATTGCTTTGGTGCTTACTCGCTCCCTTTCCACCTAATTAAGATATACAGATAAGTCAAATATTGGTACTCTTTCTACCTTTACCTTAAAAAAAATATTAATATACCCTCAGGTAACTGACACAAGTATATGGCATTCACCATTTTTATTCCATAATTGATATAGCAGACACTTAGCTTTTGGTGTATGACTTAACATATTCTTGTAAATAGTTAAGTGAAAGAAAACAATACAAATGAAGGTTGAAGATTGGTAGGTAAATGGATGCTCTTCACTGGCCATAGGCATTATGATAGTCATTTTGTGACTCTCCACAGGTCTTTCCTAGCAACCAGTTAGTCTCAAAATTCCAAAATAATTAAAATCCCTGGATTCAAATGTACATTAAGAACTATACCCTACAATTCAGTTCACATCCTACATGAGTCAGTTAAAGACCTAGTAGCTGTATTTGCCCAACATGGTTTTAATCTTGTTTGTTTTGTAACTTAGCTTTTTACATGAATACAGCCTAGGAAAAGGTTAGCTTTAGCAGAAATGGAGCAGCTTTAGTAAGCAGTTAATTGAACATACTCTTCCATGTTATGCAAATAATTTTGTTGGCTATTCTTTCTCCCAAGGATCAGAGGGAGACTGGTGTGGTATCAAGTGACAACTACACGTCATCAAAAGGCACATGCTTTTGTGATCTACAACTCATTTCATATGCAGTCAAGAGTGGGGGCTGGAACCACAGTCAAAGCTCTAAACTCTTTTCATCTGATACATGTAAAAATGGGCAGAGCTTTGTTCATTTGTTCAAGGTTGACTCAGCCTTCTATCCTTCCGAGGTAGGTAAAATGAGGACCCAGATTGTTGGGGAAAATATGCTGATTCTGTAAACTGCTTAGAAAAGGACTATAAAGCACTGTGAAACAGAATATAAGTCTAAGTGCTATTGCTATTCATGCAGCTGCTTTCTTGACATTTTGGAATTCAGCAAATACCTCACAATTATCTGATTGATATATTGTAGTTTGCATTTGACATTATTTTGGGTGAAAAAGTATTTTGATTTGTAAAACGTGATAGATGTCTGTAGTTTGGTGAACATACTATAATGAAGCGAACTATATATTAGAAGAAGGAAAGTGTGTTGGATATTTTTGCTGCTTTGAATTATTTGTAAAAATACAATTAGTCCTCGATTTACAACAATTCCTTGAGTGAACATTCGAAGTTACAATGGCACTGAAAAAGCAACTTAACAGTTTTGTTCTTACTTGCAACCATTGCAACATCCCCATGATCATGTGATCAAAATTCAGAAGCTGGCAACTGACTCCTGTTTATGGTAGCTGTTGTGTCTCTGTCTCATGTGATCACGTTTTGCAACCTTCTGACAAGCAAAGTCAATGAGGAAGCTGGATTGATTTAACAACTGTGTTAACAACTGAAGTGATTCACTTATCTACTATGGCAAGAAAAGTTGTAAAATGAGCCAAAACTCTCTTAACAAATGTTTCACTTAGCAACATAAATTTTGGGCTCAGTTATCATCATAAACCGAGGACTACCTCTAATAAACACAGGATGCAAATGAATAAATAAATAAATATTGGAAGTATGTGATGAGTTATAGATTTGTTTTGAATGCGTCTTGGATGAAGCCAAAGAAAAAAAGAATATTCTTTAAAACCATTTCAATGGTAAAGCACAGTTGTAACATCTGGCTCTTTTAAAAAGCGAGTGGAAGGAAATGGAAGTAAAAGGTCAAGGCTATTTCTGAATATGCTGAAAGAGGAAATCTTCATAAATTGAAATATACACAAAACACAATAAATTATGGGACAATTTTGTGAGAGCCCCATCAGATTTTTAAAAATTTATTGAGAGCAGCTATAAATAATAGAATCTTCATTTTTAAGAAGAGATTGGACAACCATTTGTCTGAAAGGGTATAGGGTTTCCTGCTACAGCAGGGAGTTGGACTAGAAGACCTCCAAAATTCCTTTCAATTCTGTTATTCCATTCCAAAAGCTACTGAGTGAAACAAGTGTGGTAGGGAACTGAAGAATAAGAGGAGATTGGATAGCAACTGAAAAGCTCAAGTAGGTACAAAATGTGAAGTAGGAGTCTTCATATTAGGTTGTCTATTTTTGGATCTAGAAAAGGAAATATGTGTAAAAAAATGGCATAGAAGGGCAGTGGGATCTCTGTGGCTTGGGAGTTGTAGTTACAGAGAGTCTTCTACCAGATGGTCCCTTTTTCAGTACTAGAACCTAGATCCAAGCACAGTAGAGCTACTAATTTAGCATGACCAGCCCCCTTTGATTGAGTGACCAAACCACTAGCCACTGTTGCTAATCTAGGTCATATAATGGTGTCCTCAGTTGACATCCATATTAAACCCATTTTCATTGGTTTTATAACAAAGACCTAAGTATAGGTTGAATGTATTCAGGGCTAATGTTAGACTCTGACTGCATCCATTCAGATTATTTTCAGCCTTTCAGTTTGATTCTGTAAATAAGCTTGATTATATAAATTACTTGGCAGTTAAGGTGATTCTTAAGAATTTGGGTGCTACATAATTAAATGATTATTTTAATACCAAGATCTAATCACTAACAGAATGTATCACCATCTGCCCTCTTTCTCACTTGCACCAGAATCTGTTACTTTCAAGCTTTACAAAATAAAGTGAAATTGCCTTTAGGTGTATAGAAGCTATATATTCATGTATTGAGTTACACTTTAGGTTTGTTTTTTTTAAACATTAATCATCAAATTAAAATTAGAATTCAAGTCATAAGGATTTAAAAATTCAAACAAAAAATAAATACCATGTGGACAATTAGACAATATGAATGAACATGTAAATAATAAAAAGTTGAATGGACGAATTTGGGATTTGGGCTCTTCATATCAAACCAATCAGCAGACCTTTACTATACGCAGGGGGAAAAAACTTGGTTCAAAACATCTGCTTTTTTTTTTTTTTTGTTTTTTGTTCCGGGCAGGTGATTTTGTGGGTTGCAACAGGAATATTGAATATTGGAATGTCTACAGTAGAAGAATTGTGTTTTTAAAAAAATACCATGACATCTGTGAATATTTCATTGAAACCATTTTTACATCTGTGCTAAAAGGGAAATAGCTTCCTTTGTGCAGTTATGAATTCCATCTTAAGTGCCTCTCCTGTGAATGCCTTTGATGGAATCCCTCTCTTTAGCTGCCATCTATGACTATTGGCTTGGTAGCATGAATGTTGTGAATAGCAATAGTACTTAGACATACATACTGCTTCACAGTGCTTTGCAGCCCTCTCTAAATGGTTTACAGAGTCAGCATATTTTTCCCAACAATCTGGGTCCTCATTTTACCGACTTTGGAAGGATGGAAGGCTGAGTCAACCTTGAACTTGGTGAGATTTGAACTGCCAAATTGCAGTCAGCTGGCAGTCAGCAGCCTGCAGTACTGCATTCTAACCACTGTGCCCCCATGGCTCCTATGCCTATGAATTGTTTGAAACAATTGTTTGCTTCTAAACAAACATACATTGGTGATAAAATAATCATCTGGACACATTTTGCAATTGTGCCTATAGGAGGCACCTGGTTTTTAAAAAATAAAATAAAATCTGAAGTAGGGAGAGTACATATTTTCACAGATCACTGAAAAGAGAGAAAACGAATTGAGGAAGCTTAATGACAGGCCACAACTCTGCCCGAGAGAAAAGGCAGAAGATTTTGGCTCCTTATTCACACAAATGCATTGAATAAAAATCATCTTTAAAAAGTGAGAGCTTAGTTATTGACGTTATGGATTGCACCTTTCTTTCTCTGAAATTATTTTTTGTTTCTATCCATAATCCTTGCTTACCAATAAAACAATTTTATTTTAATATTTACCAAATCCTATAATACAGTTCTAAAATATTGTTTCAGACTTCCTCCATGACCTTGTCCGCTGGGACCAAGGATATAAAGAGCTAATATAATTCCAGCCTACGCAGGAAATAGTCATGAAGCAATACCTGAGGAAATCCTTGATATAATGACTTATTTATTAATTGGATATGCCTTTGAAACCAAAGGGAAATGATATGTGTCATAATATGTTCTGCAAAGAACTAATGCTAAATACATCTAGGTAGATAACTGCAGTAACAAAATGTAATTGGCCACATTTAAAACTAACTATAAAATAAAGTTGATTCAAGATAACTTCTTATCTTGGTGATAAATCTGTCATTTGCATTATTTTCTTCATAGCAGTATAGATATGGCTACCTCCTGGAGGCTTATGCAATTTTTCTGCCTGGCTTCAAACTCTGATATGAAGGATAATTCATTGTTTTTGTCCCTTCATTTTCTATATCTGAAAATTCTTGGTCTACAAATATATTATGCTTAGTTATTCCTAACAAATCATGTGACTTTTTTCTTATCTCACATAACAGATAAACATGCACAAACTATTGGGTGGCCCTTCATCACTACATTTTCAAATTATGTCAAATATAAGCCTATGAGAAAAGTGTGAAAAATTACCAGTTGGTGGGATGCAGCTGATTAACTGTAGGATGGATATAATTACCAAGCTGAGATACTGAAGATGCTTGTTCTTATTGTGGCAGGAAAGGAACCAGTAATATGGACAGCAAATATATCGGTCAGCTTCCCACCATCCTACCCCTGCCATTTCAAGACTGGTAGAGAACACTTTAATTTGGCTGTTTGAAAGACTCCCTAGACTCAGACTATAGAACCCTAACATCTCTTTTTCACTTAATGTGTCTTAGAAATGTGCATGTTAATTAAATTAGTTAATTTATACTCTAACTACTATCTACGTACTGCAGTGCTCTAACTAGTATCTATGCACTGTGATTATATAAAATGCTGCTTGGGAGCTAATTATCACAACAATTAATTAAGATACTGCACAAACAAAACAAAGACAGGCAAATCAGCTAATTCATGGTAAAGAGCAGGATTGACCAATTGTGTTCTGATAGATAACTTAATGTTCTCGTGCTTGAATTGAGTTTTGTGCCATTGGAGTGTATTTCTCAACTGATAGCATCCACTTTCATTAATTATGTAAACTATCTAATTTAACAACTGTAACAAAGAATAAATTGATAAGATGGAAAACTGGCAGGGTCCAAATACAAATAACGTAGCAGAAAAGATGCCATAGCTCTAATATTAAAATTAGAAACATTTTGGTTACACATAAGAGTTTGAGACAAGTCTATGAAATGATCAACCATACCTTCGCATCCCCTTTCTATCTGTCCATTGCAAAACAGAGCATCTGAAATCAAATCTGGAAGACGCCCATTGAGATCCACAGAGGCAAGGCAGCCTTGAAATCCTTCTTTGGCATGGACCAATTTTGGCAAGGATTTATAAGTCTCTTTTGCTACTCCTCCAATATATAGATCACCTATGAAGTCAAACAAAAGGCTTAGATGAATAATTTTTTATTAATCTTATTCATTGATAAGTTGAACATGTTTTAATCTACCATAACTGCACAAAAACATTTTTCTTATTTTTTTATAATAAAACAAAAAGCCCTCCCCCCACAAACAACAACAACAAAGGAGAATATTTCATTCCTCAAACTATGTAATATTATCAGTGCTGATGATGCTACCTAGTTTGGGTAGTGAAATCAGCAAGAAAACAACTAAGCTCAGAAAGTACCAAAGAGCCAATAAACAAGAATATAAAATAAAGCAAGAAAAGCAAATGTCAATTGCTCCTGAGGAAAAAAAAAATACAGCCTCTCTCTAGCCCCTAAATACTGGTAGTCCTTGACTTACAACCACAATTGAGCCCAAATTTTTTTTTTGCTAAGCGAGACATTTGTTAAGTGAGATTTGCCCCATTTTACTACCTTTTTGACAAAGTATAGTACTGTACAAGTGAATTATACATCATTTTAAAGTCTTACTATAATGCACAATGATTATATGGTCAATTTTTAGTTATTGGAAACTAGTGTCACAATCAATCCTGAAGTGTTGTTTCTCATTAAACACCACAACTGGAGAAAGACAGATGAGCACTAACATATTATTATGTTGACAAGGCAAAAATGACTGGAATAGATATCCTATGGATTTCTAGGAATGGATACAGCCAATGATTGACTTGATCTCCAAAGTCTGTTCTCTTGATTTGAAATAACCTTGCCAATTATTTCTGAATGTTTTCTACTGTATTCAGAAAAATACAGCTTCAAATAGGAATCTTTTTAGCCCCTCTAGTTATGTGAACCATGCATCATTAATATCTATATTTTTAGTATAATATATACTAATAATATTAATAGGCATTCATAGTGATTGGCAAGGGGGTAGTGACATGTGTCAGGTTGCACACTCTACCCTTTTATTTTTGCAATGCAACAAGTAGGAAAGTACAGAGCTTGCATCATAATGTCACAACACGTGTTTCATTATTACAGGATCATGGTTAGGAAAAGACACCTAGGTGTAGAATGTTTGTTGCTGAAGAAACACAGGGAATTGTTTCTAGAGAACACCATGTGGGGGAAGACACAAGCAGAAGATGGATTTGTCCCTGGCTATCATAGTCCCTTGGAACTGAAGGGAGTATTTGCATGCTTGTCCTTTTCATTTGCTTGGCAAGCCTGGAATTCTGTCTCTTAGCATGTGGCATCACATTTGGAGGTGCCTGAAAATAGGGAAGAAGCCTCCCTTATATTTCAGTAAAGGATAATTTGTCTTTTCAGGGCTAAGTATATTTCATTACACATTAAATATATATTCCAAACTACAGAATGTTTCAGGGATGGCCAACATTAGTTTCTCCTCTTGACTGACAGTGCTTTTTTTAATATTACAAGATTATAAGTGGTTACTGTACCTATCTACCACGAGTTGATTTAATTTAAAACATTAAAATGTTTAAAACATTTATATAGCTACCCACCTGTACCTAACTCTGAGTGGCTCACAGCCAAAAGATAAAACCACATCTATATATGATAAAAGTATTAAAATGAAGCATATTAAATATATTAAACTTCAAAAGTATTAAAAAAATCTAGCACCATAATTATACTGAGGTTACCCTCTCCTGCTGCTTGGGGGAACAGCAGGTTTTACGTGCTTTTGGAAGACTAAAAGATTAGGGCCTGCCTAATTTCAGGGAAGTGTTCTATAGGGGACGAACTATAATGAAAAGGCACATTTCATATTCCCATAAGATGGGAACATTTAAGGGAAGGGACAAAGAGCATGTCTGTGCTATCCAATCTATTGAGTGACATGTATAAAGAAAGGGAACAAGATGAATCAGATGACTGTAATGGTTCATTTTCTTGATATATGCAGTGAAAAGAAGGAAAGTTGTAGCAAAATCTTTTTCCTCTAATTTGACAGCAGGTTAGACTTCAGACTGAAGGTTAAACTTTTTTTTTCCAATTGACTGGTTCCACTTGACTTCTGCTCCCTTGATGGGTTTATGCAAGTCCATAGCTTTTTGAGGTTCTTTTGTTGCTACCCATGACCCCTTGCTTAGACCTTCAGTTCTGCTAGCTGCACTCTGGGTCTTCTCTTCTATTTGTGGGAAACTCATATCAGAGACACTGCTAACTAAAATTCTCATATCTTATTGCCCAGAAGCTAAAGTAACCAGATTGTTGAAATAAGTGTGTAGGAACTATAATTTTTCCTAGGAAATAAAAATTGTTAAAATAAAGTATACTATAATGTAATATTTGTCTTTACCACTATGATACCTATAACAGAAACATTATTTTCAACTAGACAATCCTTTTGTTGTTCTCATTTTTCCCTTTGTTTTTTTTCTTGCCTTTGTTTTTTCTAAACAGCTCAGGGAGGGTTCACCATACTATTGAGGCTTTTTTTCCAGTCTCTCAGTATAGGTTAACATATACATGGCCAGACAGCTAATCCTTAGCATCCATCAAGAAAACAAAAATGCATACATTGTCATCTTTCCTCCGGGGAAGTTATGAAACCAATGAACTTGTCATGCACCTTATCCAGTAGACTGGCAGGCAAAAATTCTGCTACATTATAGTGTACCTAACAGTATATTATTTATTTATCTACTAAATTTCCATCCGCCTATCTCACAGTTCAAGGTGACACTGAGCGGCTATTATTATATCCACTAGAAAGAGACAATGATAGATATTTACCCTGAGAAAAGTCAAAATACTATTATTAAAAATATAGTATTTTTTTTCCAGCAACATTGCCATATTGACTGCATGCTAATTTGCCAATAGCATATCTAAGTTATAACTCATCCTACTATGGAAAACTAGACATTCTACAGATATGCTGCAGCTCCAGAAGTTCTTCTCAAGGCTTTCAGCAATCCAAGAAGAAGAAAATAGATTGGGCATTGACATATGATTTATTATGCAACATCACAAAGGGCCACCCATTACAAGAAATCTCTTAATATCACTATCATCATCTTTCTCTCATAATGGGAAAATAGCCAAAATCACTCATAACAGTGAATTTTTCAGGGGAACACTGAAATGCTATGACATTTTTTGTTCTGACTGATATCCCGTAAAATAAGGGTGTCCACCTTCGGCAACTTTAAGACATGTGGACTTCAACTCTCAGAATTCTTCACCCAGAATTCTAGGAATTGAACTCAACAAGTCTTAAAGGTTGGACACCACTGCTATAAGATTCTCTGGAGCCCCTGAAATTATACAAAGTTTATAATCTCATAGGTAGTTTAATCTTTTAATATTATTATAATTGTAATTTAAAGTTGGGTGAAAACCCAATGTTCTAACATATTATTTTCACAATTTGGGGAAACTAAATTCATTTATTTATTTATTTTTACATCAGTTTAATCTGGAGGGCTATAGGCACCATTTGTAGTAACAGCAGATTCTTGGTGTTCTTGTATACAAGCTTTCCAATAACAGAAAAAAAATCCCAATCTTATTCATTAGGTGAATGAGCCTTAATATTTGAAACAGTGCATTTCATTATGTATTTTAATCTTTTTTTCAGTCAACTAAACATTTACAAAAAAAAAGGGGGTGCCACCAAGGCAGGAGAGTAGGAGTATATGTATATGTGGATATATATTATATATGCAACATATAATACATATACATATACTCCTATTAAACGATGTTTGGATAAAACTAAGACAAAATGTATTTGTGATGCATTATAACACCCTTGTTTACTATCTTTTGAATCATGTTCTTGACTTTCTAATATTTTGTCAATTTAATGATCTACACTATGAGGTATAAAAAATAGAGATAACTAGAGAGACAGATTGCTTCATGCAGAACTAGGTTCCAGAATATTAGTGAGTTTCTGACTCTAATGTTTTGTTAGTAAATTGAAATGAAAGGCATGCCTATTGACAGAGATTAAGCAGATTTAAAAAAGTAGAGGACTGTGTTTGTCCAACAGACTGTGCAAAGAAGTTGCTGAGGCATGCTAAATTGTGAGGGAAAAAAGATAAGATAATTGCCATGCATGTGGCAATCCATTTGTTGTGAATTGATGGAATATTAACATGGTGTTGATATGGATGTATTCCTGTGTTTGAATATTTACATGGCAGGAAAGCAACAAGAGTTTGATGTCAATACACACTGACTTAAAATTATTAGTGTGCAGGCCATATAATTTTTTTTAATGGAATTGGTGTCTCGGAAATGTCTGGAAGTTAAAATCCATCATAGAAATCCAGTAGTAATCTTTAATAAAATGTACCAGAGCAAGGCTGGAATACTTGCATCTGATCATTTCAGTTTGAGGTTTAGGGGTGGTGCTTCCATTTTGCATCACTTTGGATATTGCTTTCCTTTCTGGTTTATATCATTTATCACTTTTATTTTTAAAACATCAGTTATCTTCTAAAAAGTGCATAACATTATTTTGATTTACTTCAAGAAGTGTAAAGTTTTTTGCTATAAGATTAAAGACATTTCACTAATACAACTGTATCTGGTTCAGCCTGACAGCAAAATAAGGTTTTTGATAGTATGCATATTACTAGTGTTTAATGCTGCTCTTTTTTCCTAGTTCAATTCTGCCACTGCCTGGTAGCTTAAAATCCAAATTTTTAGTTCCTTCTGTTGCTAATGCACTAAAATTTGTGCATTAGACTGTATGGATGGCTTATTATTACAGTAGAAATATGTCTCTTCATTTGAATTCCAGAAAACAAAATCATAATTTAGCTATGATTAGGCACCAGTGAAAAAAAATCATGGGATAATACTAACCAACAATAAATTATTATGCTAATTAAAGTCTCCTTCAGCCAGAATCTCCTGCACTATGTTTTTACACTGAGAACAACTTTCACCAAGACAAACTCTCCTGAGGAACTGTTTTTCCATTCTCATATTTACATATTTCTAAGCTTTGTTTAGCAGTCTTAGATGAAGCAATATAATGCTATAAGTTGATAAGTAGATTACAGAATAAGTTTCCATCTGTTTCTTTAAGAAGAATTCCACAAGGAACATAAGCCTCTGATCAATCAATTGGCTGATCTAATATTTCATTGCCTCCCATTAAGATTAGGTAGACGAAGCTCTCAGTTGTTCTATGTCCGTGATGGCAAACCTATGGTAACCATGCCAGAGGTGGCATACAGCGCCCTCTCTGTGGACACATGAGCCATAACCCCAGTTCAGCTTCACCGCACATGTGTGTGCTTCTCCTGCAGGCCAGTTGGCCTTCAGGCCTCTGCCCCCGCGAGGGCCATGCGGCTTGCAGGGGAACTGCACATGCATGAACATGGGGCATGCAGGGAGGTGTGCATGCTTGCATGGGGTTGGGGCACATGTGCAGGGGGCACACAAACATTGCATTTGCAGTTCGGGCATGCACATGTGCGCTTTGGGCACTCAGTCGGGAAAAGGTGAGCCATCACTATTCTATGTCATCCTTGATTGTTATTGAAGGATGCTAGCTCTGAAGTGTTATCTGTCTAAATTAGCCTTATCCTTCTATTGTTCTGTATCTTGTTTGCAGCCAAAGTATGACAGTGCTGGTGAAAATTAACCTACGTCACAAAGTTATGGACAGGAGATCAGGTAGGAAAAGATGTTCTAATGGTTTCTGCTCTGAACTGAATTTCTTTTTCTTTCCATCTGATTTTATAATCCTGGTTTGTCCATCTTTATGATAAATGATTGATTGGCAGCTTAGGTTCATGCATGTTTATTCAGAATTAACATTTACTCTGTTTAATGGATCTTCTTTTTCAAAATATATGGGTTTAAAGTAAACAAATCAAGTTTTGGCCAAACTGCCCAACAAATATTGGATGTTTTATCCATTCCCGTGTCCTAGAAAACACCTTGATTAAATCAGCATCTATGCTTCAGTTGCAATGAATAACTTTACAGGATTTTTTTTTTTTAATTAGTAATGTCATTGCAAATATTAATCACATTGGTTGGATAGGGAGTTTTGCTTTTAGGACTATTTGTGTCTTCTTAGTTGTCTTAAGTAATTGTTTCAAAGGATGTACTATATTAAAGGCTAAATAATGTAAGAATTTATAGGTACAATAACTCTATAAAGTCTTGATTTCTTTTTTCCAATTCATCAAGAAAATCTATGTGATCGCTAGAAGTTGAAAATGACCTGATTGTGCACAATAGATCTTTTTCCCCCTTTTTCAGTAAAGTCCAGGGATAGATTAACATTCAGCCATATTTGTAAGAAATGGTTTATAGCTGTGTACTAAATAAAACCAACCAGTTATTTATTCAGTAAATCATGGTTTAGGATTTATGAACCATTGTCACAGTCCCTCTTACTATATTATGCAAGATGCTCTGTTGTAATCACTTATTGAGTCACATAAACCTTACCACATTCTTCTCCAGATATTTTGAAGAATAGATTCTCTGCCAAATGGCTTTCTCAAGCCTTCCAAATATTTTATCAATTATCCATCTGTAGTATTCTCTATAACTTCATTAAAATCAATGCACTACTACATGATGATGATGATGATGATGATGATGATGATGATGATGATGATGATGATGATGATGATTGCAATCATAAGCTACTGTTACCTAATCAGGAATGCTGCAAAAAACCAAACATCCTCAAAGCACAGATAAAACCTCTGTCTGTGAATCTTTCTCAGGCCTTCAAATGAGGATGATCTGAGGCTGGTTCACTATCCTCTATTTACTCTTCCATAGTTTCCTGCATTTGATCTTAATTTATACTTCCATATGTTCACACATTAAATATTTACTCTGTGTGTGTGTGTGTGTGTGTAAGAGAGAAAGAGAGGGAGGGAGGGAGGGAGGGAGGGA